GACTACACAATGACTTGCGGTGGCTAGCCGAGGTACAAGTCGGCGCAGGTGGTGTAGTGGCAAGTGGCGCACTTCACACGCGCATTGTCACGGGTTCTAATCTCGGATGGGCAATTCCTCGGCAAACTAGGCCTTCCATTCGTTTGGAGTAGGTTAATTGGTATCACATGCATTCAATACTCCACTAGGATTCGGAATGGAAGTTGAATGCGTTGGCGTAACCCTCTAAAGGGATCGATTAATGTCCCCATACTTGATCCCTAATTCTTTACAGTATCTATAACTATAGTATTTTACTAATGCTCAACCAACGCACACAACTGTATACTCCGTAATGTACGTACCTATAGATGGAACCAATCACTTTTTGTTTTCATTCGCTCATTCACGTTTACCCGATTACTTGGCATCCAAAAGAATCAGCTACGACAAACTGATCAGAACAAAGTTGTTGTAAACATAATTAAGTGACACCATAATGTAAACATGCTTTTGCCGATGTAACAAGTGGTTTTTTTTAGATAAAGTACCGTTTTGCAATTATGGCTGGGGGGGTCACNGTTTTGCAATTATGGCTGGTGCGATCACATTCCTTGTACTGATCGCTGTATCGATGTGTGCCTTCCACATCTGGCATCAGAGCAGAAAAAATCCTGAAGTAAGTCAGCATTATCCACATACTACTACTATACTGACATACTGCTGGCGGAGTATAAGAGGTAAAAGTCAACCACCTGTCGGGGGGATCCTGGATCGAGTACATGTTTTTTCAAACTTTTTAATTACATTTTTGCTGCAGTAATCCAAGGGACTAGAAATAGTTTCCATTTTCCTTGAGAAACGATCCGGGTGGGGGATAATTCAGGTTGTCCCATAGGCTGCAAAGCACATTGCTGGTTCTTTTGAATCACTAATTTATCACCGTCTGAATATGATATGGCTCTCTGACAACCGCCCTGTGAACTTAGGCCTACCCCTTAGGCCCCCGTTACCAGCAGCATATTGCTGTTTTCTCTGAACTTGGCCTTGCCTTGGCAGAGATTGAACTGATGGCTTTTAGTGCATAGGGGGTGACAGAAAACTGTGGGAACTGATGTCGATGTCCAGGAACACACACTTTTATAAAAAGAACGATTGTAGCGGGTTTGTCTTCAGGAGGAAGCCGTACGTCTTCAAGCTTTATCATCAAGGGCCCAAATGCTCGCTGACGCTGCACTTCACGCAGATCAACCGTGAGTCTGCATTTTTTATTGAATTTTAATAACTTCATCTCAAAAGATCTCTCTGGGCGCTATCTGGGGAGAAAATAGTAAACGATACAAACAAACAATGAAAGCTCTTGGGTTCCGTGCATGCTCCTGATTTTTTGCACCTGTCAGCTACGAGTGTGAGATACGTATGAGAACAGAAAGAGCAGAATTTGTGGTGACGTAGAGTCTTAGAGCTTGCTAAAAGGTTTGAATTGTATGAATGACTTGCTCTCACTTTCTTATCGTATGAGAAAATTCATGAAATCTTGGATTCACGAAACCGCTGGATAAAGGGGGTGAAGAGGGAGCCAGTAGATCGATACGTATCTTATTCAGCGACTTCACTATTCTACGGTTCCATACACTTCGAGTTGGACGATTTTAATGTCGTAGATTAGATGCAGGCTCATGGGGCTCTTGGACTGAAGGGAAGATGTGGTTCGAAAATGGCGATTAACGTGCTGATTGATAAGACGATTCATGAAGATCCCAAGAACAGCTTCTGAACTGTCTATTGCATGTGAATAATGATATTTCAGGGAAGTTCAAACATCGATCACGAAAAAGGAACGTCGACGTTCTCTCACGAATCCATTCCGAACGAAGCGATCGAAGAGCGTAGGTACGAAGTTGAACCTTTTAAAACCCCATACTAAATATTTCATCTTATGCTACAGAAAATACGATATCCGCAAGCATTTATTAATATACTTGTTGGTTTTTAATGGTGTATTTTTCTTTTTTCTATTCCACTTTGCTTACTTTTGCGGGGATATCAGGAAAAATGCGTTAAATTCTCTAGTATCCTTTCAGATTATCGCCCAGAACTGATGATTGAACGAAGAGGGCTCTTGAAAAACAGTCGGGATTGATTAACTGTCAACAGCTGTTTTTTATTGTTGTGTATATGAACTCCTGTGTTTCCCGTATTAAAAACAGTGGGTACCGTGAAAGTGCGGGAGCGCTCCAAAGGAAGAAGTTAGTGCCCACTCCTTTCAGCCCTGGGAAATGTACTCTATGGGAAACGATGTGGATGGGGATGATTTAGGAGGCCCCGTAAATTGTGAACCAACACACTCAACGTATCCACTGCTTTTTGTTTTTATGGTCGAGTTAGTTATGACAGGGTTTTTCATCGACCGGCCTATGAGCCTAAGCTTGACGCCGCCCTCACCGGCACCATTTTTGCAATTTTTCACTATTCATGGGCTTTGCCTCGGCAGGGATCGAACTTTTGGCCTTTATTAGTATGTAGACGTGAGCCTACGCTTCTGATCTCTGCCACTTTCGCGATGTATGCCCCGACCTGTTTTACTACTCCATTACAGGCATTGTCTTCGACTGTCATTATGCTTTTCCTGCCAAATATCACTTTTGATGCTTTTTAATGTTTACTGTAACAGCGTGTTGATGAACTCATAATGAGTAAAAGGCTTGTGAAGTGTGATTACTGTAATTCACGTGTTGCTTGCTCACTGCATTCTTCTCTGTTATCATTTGTGCTTTAAGATGATTATTGATTTACGCTTTCGTGTTAACATTCTGCTTCTTCATTTTTAGAACGACGGAGTTGAAGAGCAGCCACAAACGCGATGATTACGGTCGACCTCCCGGAGAGGGCGAACCACCGTAAATTGTATTCTGCTCAATGTACGGTACTGGTGTGTGCAGATTATAGTCTTGCAGGCGCCGTGTGGGAATGGAGCAGCACCCGAACATGAACTGCTTGGGAGCGCCCAAGATATGGTGCTATGCGCTGGTTTCTGGTACCTATTCTTACAGTTGGTTGAACACTGATCGAACCGAAGAATTATAGCATCGCAGAATCTGCTACAAGCAGATTCTGCGATGCTATAATTCTGGATACATATCGACCTGGAGAGGTGAATACCGTGAGAACGTGGAACTTTGCGATGTCGCCACGCAAAGTGTGAACGATGTCGAAGGATTCGGAATCCTCAAGAAAGATCGGTGCCGTCTGAACAACACCCAAGGCTCCAATGTGATCGCATTCTGATATATCCAACCAGTATTTGCTTTGGTTACTTTGGAGAACGTAAACAACTCCCAGTCATTTTGTTAAATGCCGCCATACTGTGAGGTGTGCAATGCCGAATGCCGTTAATTCAAACCGGAAAGGTTGCAATCCACCGGCAGCTGCCGCTCGGCGTCGAAGTGCTGCTGGAAAGCAGACCGGCTCTACTCAACAAAGTGCTACGTTCATACCAAGTGAGAGTGCCATTCCAAAGGTGGCTAGTTCACCTAGTTTGACATGCGTCGGAACTACATCACCTGCAAAGACTGCTTCTGCCCCTACACCTACTCAGGCGAACAAACTGGCTACACCAACGGTAAGTCTCTGTTCGGTTCGTTTCCTGATGGCCATCAACACTTTTGTTATTCAGGCAGCGGCTGCTCCCAAACCACCACCCACTGCTCCTAAACCAGCACCCTCTGCTCAGACACCACCAGCCACTGCTCAAACACCACCTGCGGTCGTCTCAAATCCAGCGGGTGCAGTTCATGGCGCAAAAGCTTCATCGAGCGTGAGTTTATGGAGTTTACATTCAGAAACGCATGTGTGCCTTTAGGCCAGGATCCGCTAACGCCCTCGTCTGCAGCGACCTATGGGTGGCTTATTACCGGGTAGAGTGGACCGCGCTTGGTATTTTTGAGTAACGCACGCCTCCTCAGGGAAGCAGGGTTTTCACCTCAGGATCTAAATAGTTAGAAACGTCGTTGTTTCAAAAATCTTTAGACGGCTGATTTATCAGCCCTTTCGAAAGGTACGCAGAGAATCAAGGAAATGGAGAGTTGGGAGAGCATATAGACCGCTCCACAAAAAGTTCATGATAAAAGGTAAACAGCGGGAAATGATAAGAAATCAAGGTGAAAATGTAGTTGGGGGGGCCACCTATCACAATGTCGGCATATCAAGAAATGAACTCAATGAAACGCGTTATGTCGTGTTATATCACGGACATGCCAGTTTTTAAATAAGGGCTCTCGTAGGGACGGAGCACCGCGGTGGGCAAGTTTTCTTTCTTTTTTTCTTTTTCTTTGCAGGAGGTAATTATCCCAGCCACCCAGGTGCTCCTACCCTACCTAGGCTTATTTGGTAAACTAAATTTCCTTAGCGGAAACCGCATAAAAGAGCTAGGCTAGTCGATTCCCATCATCCTCTACGCATCCGATACAGTGCTGATATAGCAAGGGCTAACACGTTAGACTGAGTTTATTTCTTGATATACTGACCTTCGGATGGGTGGCCCCCCCCCCAACTACATTTTCACCGAAATCAATACTTCCTACGGCTCTTATGTACGACGCAAACTATGAACGCTCTACTGGTGCTAGCTGAGTTCTGTAAGCATATCGTTTGTCTAGTTGACCTTAAGCGGTTGATTTCATGCCATTTTCAGCCTCCCGGTGTTGTTGCCATACCAGATATCGTTTGCTCACCTTCGACTACACCTGGAAGGCAATCCCCTAATGGGAGCGTGCCAGGTTCGCCTGTTAAACCTGTAAGTTTTTCATAAGCTGTATTTCATTTACTTAAAATCAGGCACCCATCCAGGCGAGAGACAAGCAGATTACAAAGACTCATGAGAGCGAGCATTACCGCTGATGTAGCAACTAATGAAGCAAAGTTGGCGCAATTCCTCGCAGTCAAGGGAGCTATCCGGATTGGAAGGTATCCTTCCTCAGAATGACCGGCCAGAGCTTACGCCGTATTTCCTAACAGCATCAGATCAGTTATGACTTAGTGTCTGATTACCGCTACGAGGGAGTGCACTCATTCCCAGCTGCACCAAAAGTATAGCTAGTTCTTTAGAAGGCCAAACGAGGACCTTGGTCCCTCCTAAACTGGTTGTGGAACTTGATTGTGGATACCAACCTTCGCACTTTAGATCTTTTTGAAGGACAGGATTTATTGCTGGACCCTGGCTCGTTTTGTGTGGAAAAGGAAGCAGTAACTGAAGGGTCACGAAGGGTACCGCCAACCACAAACTATTTTCGAACGAATTCCTGCAGCTAATCCAATTGACATTAAGTTACAGTACTTCTTACGTGGTACTGTTTAGGCTATCCGATTGGAAAAAGAGACCCAAGAGCAAGTTCTAGCTGCCATCGAAGACCATGCAGGTGATGATGACAGCAGTGCACTGATCTGTATACAGCCTTCGCAATCTGAAGTGAATATCGATGAACAGAAAAAGCTAGTAAGTGACTGGCTCTCAAAAATATTTTTGTTGTAATTTTTTAAAACCCTATAACTTGAAAATTCCTCCATTACAGCAGCATTTGCCTGTGGTGAAAGCTTTCAACGAAGCTGAAAAGAAGAAAATGTCTCAACGTCGATGAAACCGATGAACGCCGCCGCTTACTTGCTTGAAAGTGATCAGATTTTGATGTGCAAATTCAACATGTGAATTGTAGTGTGTTTTTCCAAACTATTGGTATTGTACGTTTATTCACAACTGTCGCTAGTTAAATGTTGTCAGCGAAACGGAATCATATCATTCGTAACGTATTTCGTATAATTTATCTGTCAACATACTCGTCTCTGGAGATTGTCTCGTGGGTGTTACAGTCCTATTCGGTCGAGGGTGATCCCTTTCCTGCTCTCACAAGGGAAGGATCCCAAGTCGAAGTGGCCATTTGAAATGGGGCCTAT